AAGCAACAACACAACCACCAGAAATTATTCAAGCAACAACACAACCAACAATGATATCAGTAACAACAACACTAATGAGTAAGCCGCAAATTGAAATGACACCAATTGATATATAAATATTCTTCAATTATCAAACTTAATACAAACAGAAGGTATGATTGCACAAAAACAAATTACAGACACTAGTCATTGTTGTAAAAGTCTTATATATATATCTTAATCTTTCTAGTCAGTTGTTCTATTTTTTAGATAGCTTGTCAGCTATCATTCTATGTTGTATATCTCCTATTTATTTCTTTTTAACAGTCATCATTTACATTATTAATATTGTATGATTTTCAGAGTTCTTCTTTGTTGTATCATTTAAGAGTTCTTTTTCTATTTATTGTCCTGTTCGTTTTATTTATCAATAAAATGAGCTCAATTGTATCTTATTGCCGGGATACAATTTGAGCACAAAAAACAAAAACTTTATCTTGTTAACCTACTATAGTAACAATAAACCTCTTAATATTGAAAAAGTTATTAATGACATGAAACAAATGAAAATAATTGAAAACAAGGAATATATCATATTCAATATCTTTTCAAATTATTTTATTCTCAAAAGAACATAAATGTCATTTCCAAAATAATCACACATTGACAGGTCAAATATCAAAACATGGTTAATAAGATATATAATAAACTGAGAATAAATGTGACTTACTGAAATATTGAGGATATCCATATTTTCAAGGCTAACATGATAAAATACAAAGATATGTCATACAAATGAAAGTAGGGTTTCGATGTAGAATTCAAAAACCGAAAACAAATTGAATGGAATCAAATGAACGTGTCAATATTCGCTCCATTTATCAAATAATATAAATACTATAAAATCAGGTTAAACAAAAATTTGACATATGCTCGGTTACAATTTAATGAAGACAAAGTTTATAGGAATACATAAAATATTAAAAAATGAATCTTTCTCGTAGAAATAGATAGATAGGAGTCTGTCAGAAAAGAACACTAGTTATAACAATCGAATCGGATTCGAATGGGTATTTACTTATTCGTTTAAGTCTCTGGTTGGTATAGACTTATAGAGAAATGTTTACTTTTTTTTATAGTATCATTTTTGTTAAAAACAAAGTTAAAATAAGATCTTATTGTTAACAAATCAAAACGTGTAAGATAATCAAATCAGTCCGCATACATTCATTGAGTATCAAAACGTTCGAGACGGGAGTCATTGGATACAGCTTCTAGTAGGTCCCACTAAAGCGATCATGGAAGCGTTACGGGAAAAGATTTCGACAAAGAAATATTTCTCTAAAAGTTCTGGATATTAGAACATAAAAATTATAAAGTGTGTGTTGAATTATACTTTGTTTTTTTAATAAAATGTATCAGGAACATGAATAGTAATAATATTAATTTTGATGATTCACCATAAATTCTAAACGTCCTTGCAGTTCATTTTATCTCTTCAATAATATTTTTCTAAAGAAATGTATAAAGTTGTTCATAAAAGTCAAAATAAGTAAGAATTTACTGAAATTTGATCAAAACTTACATGAATTTATGAGGAAAAAAGCTAAGCAGTGGTTTATCCAGCGGGGGGGGGGCACGGGGCTTTTTGCCCCCTCGGAGGGTGCTTCTGCCCCCCCCCCCCCGGAATTCAGAAAAATTACGCTTTTTGAGTCTGAAACTCTACGTTTGCCCCCTCAGAAGAGAGATTTTTGCCCCCCCGGCAGTTAATTTCGCACCCTCGGACGAAAAAAGCTGGATAAAACACTGAAGCTAAGATACATATAACTTTTTTCAAAATGTGTGAAAATAAAATCATATACCTTTCTATTTTCTAATCCCTTGAATCGGCACATGCACTCCTACAAAAACTTATCTAACAAGTAAACTTCATTAATAACAGTGGATAGATGCAGATTTATATTTATATAATAACATAAATTCTAAACATTTATTAATTTACAAAAATTCAGAGAAGCTCCCAAAATTAACAAAAAACGTTATTTAAAAGTTACGAATATGTCAGTACAATCAATACACGAAGTATTCTAAACGGACTTAAAACAAGATGGAGACTGAATATTTAGCGTCATTTAATCAGCGATGACCAACAGACAGTTGTGGTAATGCAAGCTGTGCATATAATCCTCTCTTTGCCAATAGTTCTTCGTGGGTACCCTAAAATAATATTTAATCTTTTATAAAGAATAAAATCAATTTCATGCTTACTTCTTCTCTTAATTTGCCTCGATTTACAACAGCAATGTTTTCAGAATTTTGAACTGTCGATAGCCGATGAGCAATTGTTAAGCATGTTCGACCTACCCTTGCTTGATCTAATGTTGACTGAACAACTTTTTCGCTTTTATTATCTAATGCTGATGTTGCTTCATCAAGAAGAAGAATTTTTGGATTACGAATTAAAGCTCGAGCAATAGCAACTAAAACATAAATCGTTCATAAAAAGTCTTTTTTTAAAGAAATATTTACTTCGTTGTTTTTGTCCACCAGATAATTGACTACCTTTTACTCCACACATTGTTTCATAACCCTAAATCATCAGTAATATAATCTAGGATAAAGAAAAAAGGTGGAAAAACCTCAGGAAATGAGATAATTAATTCATGAATATTAGCCATTCGAGCAGCAGTTTCAATTTCATCTTGTGTTACTTGCCGACTATTATCACCATATGCAATATTATCACGAATAGAAATATTGAAAAGAACTGGTTCTTGTTGAACAAGACCCATCAGTGATCGAAGCCACCGAATGTTCAAAACTTTTATATCATGGCCATCTATTAAAATTTTTCCGTCTATTGGATTATAGAATCGTTGTAACAACGCCATAGTTGTTGATTTTCCACATCCTGATGGACCAACAAAAGCTGTCGTGTTACCATTTAAACATTTCAATGAGAAATGTCTTAAAATACGAAGATTTGGTCGAGTTGGATATCGAAAACAAACATCATGAAATTCAATATTACCCACAAAATCTTCCTAAATAACAATAACACAAGATTTCACTGGTATAAATTGAGAAAATTGTAGCCTATTACTTTTGCCAAAATGATCCCTGATTCCTTATTAGGATCAATTTGTGATTGTCTATTATGAAGTTTTATAATTCTTAATGCGGCTCGTTTAGCTTTTGAATAATCAGGAACTGTATTCAATGAACGACTAATAGTAGATATAGAGAGTGCTATAACAGCATAAACTCTTTCATAAGAAATATATTCAGATAAAAATAAATATCAATCAGAAATTATTTTACCTATACACTCGATCGAATTGTAATTCTCCATTGTTGATGAGGTTATTACCATATCCAATACATGCGGATGGAAAAAAATATCCCATTGAATTAGATATAGCATCACCTAGAGCTATCAAGTGTATATGACGTATTCGTTTTCTAAATATTCCAATGATTTAGAAAAATCAATTGAATTGAGAGAAGTCAAGAGTAATACTTATATTCTGCATTGAATGCATCTTGATAAAGTTGGATAAAATGATTTTCTTGATGAAGAGCAACGACAGTACGAATATGTTCGATTGCTTGTGTTGCATGCTAAAACAAGAAGCAGCCATAAGTACAAATGAAATGATATAATTTTAATCATTACCTGTCCACCTAGTTCGGTAAATGAAATTTTATCTTTTGACTGTTTGTCATTATCTTCTATTTGACTTCGAAGCTTTCCTGCTAATATTATAATAGGAGCAAAGGACAAACTAACCAATGTCAGTTTCCAGCTCGTTGCGAATGAAATTATTAAGCCTGCTATAGAGGCACCTATTGATTGTAAAATGATTCCAATACGAATACCAGTCATTCCCTATGAGACAAATTTAATTAAAAATAATCGTATACGCTCTATTTATTAGAAAGGTATTTAGCACAAATATATAAGTTTTGATTTTCTTTAAAAGTAGAAATATGATTTACAATTACCTTAAGAGCAGACGCATCCGAAGAAAGACGTGTAACAAGAGCTCCAACAGAATTTGTTTGTTGATCAAAATAACTCATTTCTTGTCGAAGTATAGCGCTAAATGTTAATTTTCGCATTCTCATCGTTAATGCTTCACCTGATTTAGCAAAACTAAGACAACTTAAAAATTGAGCGATACATTCACCAACACCAAACAAGAAACAAATTATGGCATATATGCGTATTAAACGACCTTGTTCATGTGGATCTGGTTCACTTACTGTTCCGTACATATTTGCGAATATAAGTCCGTAGAAGGGTTGAAGTATGCCATAACCAAGAGAAGTAAATGTGCCTAATAAAATCCAATGCCATTCTGGAGCGTTAAATTTTGAAATCTTGAGGAGAAATGGAATACGAAAATACTTATTTTTTGAGATATCATCTGGTGATGTATCATCTGCATTCTCATTATATCCATCGGAATTGTCACCTGAAGTCATTGATTGTTTTGAAATTTTTCTGTTAGCTAAAATTAACATGTTCAATATATAATAGTTAAACACGACAGCGAGAATTTTGTAACCTAGTGACTGTTGTGCCCATACATACTCATCGTTGGTGTCGTTTTCTTCTGTTTCACTTTCTGAATCGCTTTCTTCCGCTATCTTTTCAGTCTGAGTTGTAACTAATTCATAATAAAGTCCTTTCCGCTTCATTAATTCGTTATGTGTTCCACTTTCTTTTACTTGTCCATTTTCTAATGCAATGATTAAATCAGCATTTCGTATCGTACTTAAACGATGAGCTATTACTATTGTAGTTCGACCTTCTTTAGCTTTGTCTAGTGCATCTTGTACGGCTCTTTCGCTAGTATTATCTATATAATACAATGTCGATTGTAAATAAAAAGAAAAACTAACAAACCAAGTGCACTTGTTGCTTCATCTAATAAAAGAATCTTTGGATTTGATAACATTGCTCGAGCAATAGCCACTACAACAGAAATAAAACACTTTATACAATAATAAGAAATATCCATTCGATATACCTCGTTGTTTTTGACCACCGCTGAGTTTATCACCAGATGATGTTTTATACTTCTACGAGATAAAATAGATTCATTGATGAAAGACTAATCATAAGAAAAGTTCATACTTCTGGAAGTGCCATTATGAAGTCATGAGCATTGGCTATTTTAGCAGCAGCTTCTACTTCTTCATCTGTCGCGTTTGGTTTACCAAATCGGATATTATCTTCGATTGATCCTGTGAAAAGAACCGGTTCTTGACTCACAATTCCTATATGTGATCGAAGCCAAGCCACATTCAATCTTGTTATATTTATTCCATCGATTAAAATTCGACCACTATCTGAATCATAAAATCGTTGTATCAATTGAATAGCTGTACTTTCTATGAGAATAATCGAATATTAAACTATAAACGAACTACAAAATAACTCACTTCCGCATCCTGAGGATCCAACCAAAGCAATTGTTTTACCAGATGGAATATATATTGATAGTTTATTGAGGATCTACGTATAAATGATACATATCGTATAAAAGTTCAATGAAAGTTGTAAAAATTCATACCAAAGCATCTTGTCGTGCAGGATAAGTAAAACTAACATTATCAAATTCAATATCACCTTTAATAGTTGGTGGTTTTTCACCATCATTACTCAATGCATTAATCATTGAATACTAAGAGGTTATGAAAGAAAACTCATTTTATGAACACATTATTTTACGCTTACTCTTTCAATAATCTTAAATACACCGCCTCCACTACCAAGAGCCTCTGCAAAACTTTGAATATTAGGCATAAATTGAGATATTTGTATTGTAGCGCCCTACAAACAATACATGAGAATTACATGAATAATACTTTTTTTTGTAAGGCAAAAATATACCATGCAGGCGGAGAGAATCTATAAATAAAATTTGCGAATGAAAGAAGTGTGACGGAGATCATAAACTTACCAAAAATACTGATCCAGCTGAATAGTTTGAACAATTAGTTTGAGAAAGATGTAAACCATACCTATGATTAATTGTTATGTATTTATTTACATAATGGAAAAAGAATAATGAAATATAATACCAAAGTGTAAGCGCTGTTGCTGAATAACTAAAAAGATTATTTAAACCTTGGCATAGTCCTATATAAGCACCCTTTTTCACTCCAATGGTTTTTACTTTAACTAAACTATTTGCAAATCTAAAATAATAAATATATTGTCAGATGATAGATATCATAATTATATACCTTTCTTCTTCTTTTTTTTGACCATGGAATGCTGTAACTGTTCGAATACTTTGTAAAACTTCTTGTGCAACTGATGATGCTGATGCAAATGCTTGCACTTCTTTTACTGTATATGAAATAATCGTCTATAAAGAAATTAAAGTATCTTACTAATCTATAGGATATATTTTTACTTTGACTGTAAAATTAATAGTAACAACTATTAGTGGAGATATAGATAGATAAACCAATGTTAATTTCCATCCTTCCACAAAAGCCAATATGAGTGAACTGATCATTCGTACGCAAAGCGAAAAAAAATCCGGTACTTTCTCACTACAAGAAACTATTTATTAGAAAGATTTATTAAAAAACCTTAACGAATTAAATTACCCTATTCCATCTTTAATTTTATCTACAACAAAATGATAATATGAAATCATAAGTCATACTGAGAATACTAATTTACCTAGATCATCAACAAGTCGATTACTTAATTCTCCAGCATTGTGTACATCAAACCAACTGATTTCTTGTCGAAGAATATTTTGAAAAAGAGCAAATCGAATACGACGAACTTGTCTTTCCGCAGTGATAAGCCAAGTTGACCAGCCAACGTAACAGAATATTAAATTTCCTAAACCGAGCAGAACGTAATAAACTATAATATTTTCTATAGATATCGTAGATGAAGCATTATTTGTAGTATTAACCACTATTGAACTAAAGAAAAATAAGACTAAACTGTATTAACATACGATTGTCTAGTTACCATTCATTTGAACGATTGAAAGTGGTAGAAGTATTAATTTTGTTATCGGTAGTATAATGATTAAGTAATTGTTTATATACAATAAGGCCTATTGGAGAACAAGCTAAAGAAGAAGAGTTAGACTTGACCTTAATACATGAAACTCCATACCTCCAGTTCCCAATGCTATCAACAAACAAGAATAAATTATATTTAGAACAAAATTTAACTAACCAGCGATAGAACCAATAATCATCAAAAGTATATCTAGTCCATCAGCAAACTTGAAGATTTCGAAGAGTTTCAAACGATGTGTTTCAGATTCTTGTGATTTTTTGAATCTTTCAGGAAGTCTATTAAGAAATACACTGTTCGTTCTTATTCAATAATATACCAATAACTTAACGGTTTTTTTTCCTTAAAGACTGATTTATTTCGATGAAGGTTTATTTTTGATGTGAAATCAAAGCCACCTGGGCCAACAGACATACTTGCTCGAAGTTGTCGTTGTACATCAGGACCATTGAGTATTTGTTGAACTTTTCTTTGAAGATCTTCTTCATCTATTACGACTTTTGATCTCATCCTTGTCATTTTATTATTAGTTGCATCAAATCTATAAGAAACAAAGTCGAATTTTTCAGTACAAATTCTAACATACTTTTTAAGCTCGGGAACAACGTCATCAGCTGATGAGCGATGTGATGATGATCCAAGAGAAGCAGATCTATTTGGAGGCAATATACTAGGAGATTGTGATGATTTTGGGTTAGATAAATGACCGAGTGGTAATTCATGTATATTATCCGGCAATGAAAGATGTGAAATCGTTGGTGATGAAACTTGAAAGTTAGGTATTGACGAAGTATGTGTTATCTTCACTGATGGAAATGGCGAAACATTTATTGAATTGCTTGGCAAATCCATCTCATTATCGATATCACTATTCGATTCGTATTTCGGGATATCTTCCATAGCGATGCAAATAAATCAACGAATTACTTATACAATCGATAAAATAAAAATGATATTAAATGATAATGAGAAAAAAGAACTAGTAAATAGAAAGAAGAGAGTCTATTTACTAATGTATGCTATGATGTTTCACTGATTATAAATGATAAATCATGATGTTCACTGAATTTTTGAAGGTAGAATTAAACTTGATTAGTACGTCTTTAGTTATCATGTAGTAATGAGAAGCATACAGCCCACATATACATATTTTTTTATAGACAAAATACTATATTAAAATTAATTCATAGATTGCCTCTATGTTTTGGATGTTCTTACTCAATAGTTTATCTACGATATATCACTGCTAGTCATATGAAAATAAAAATTTATTGATTATTCGTTTTATCTATTAAATCTATCGAATATGCCTCAGTTTTAATACATAGTTACATTTATCATTCTACAAATACAATTTGAATGAATTCGATGAGAAGAATATATAAACAGATAATGTATTCTCTCTTTGATAACTATGATTACTAATTAGATAAGTGCTTTGCATTTATTTTATTAATCATTTATTTCTCAACATAATAAAGGAACATCTTTTGACAAAGTAACATGTATCATAATTAATAGTCAAAAGATTACTTTTGTATTTTAATGACAACTTTAGTTAGAGTTTTATTCTGAGTTATATTCAAAATAAAAGCATGAATAGAACATAAAACATGAAAATGAAATAATGAATTTCAAAATTTAAGTGATAATAATTCTTTTGTTCTCATTTTAGTTTTATCTCATGATAATGCTATATCTCATCGTATTTAGCATGATAAAAATCTTTAGAAGGCTCATTTTTTCTGTAACAGAAGCTTCTCTATAGAATTTTTGCAGCGCATTCAATAACACATCTTCCAAAATAAAATCAAGATGTTATTATTTTTTCAAGTCAAGATGTATGCAAATATTAAAGGTCGATATCATTATGATACACACTCTAGTTAATTGTTAACATGAATATGAAAACGTCGACAGGTTGTCGATATGATACAAGTCAATTACAAAATATTTATATGAACATGAACAAACTATAACTTATGAATTATGAATATGCAAATTTCAATAAATATATTGATAACATCACTGCATACCATTCAAGAAGATTGTAGGGATAGGTGAGTGAAGAAGAATAAAACGATTAATTCTATTATCTTTTATTATACTTTTCATACATAATAAACAGAATCCCCCTATGTTATTAATTAAAAATCTAATGTGGTCTCATAGAAAATCTTACATTCATACATTATTATCGTTGTTCATTGAATAACGAAAATGCATCAAGTATCATATAACTCAATTTCTTTTAAGGCTTTTAAAAAATGGTTAGAATGAGGAAGAAAAAATGAAGGTATTCATATACATAAGTCACCTTATTTGAATGTAAGTATCTATAATCTAATAAAAAAAATGATAACATATAAAATAATTAATGTGTAATACTATTTTAGATATACGTACATTTTGAATTTATGAGTCAAAACTAAACAAAATCTTCAAATGATAAATTAAATAATAAAAATATCTCTATTACATGTTGTTTAAAAAGTAGAAACTTACTTATATATTTATCATTTATAAAATAAGTGAATTGTTCCAAAATAAAAATCGTACATTAACCAATTCCACTGAGATATTGCTTATAAAACTTATGTAGAAAAAGAAACATATTATAAATATAACAATAATTGAAAAACAGTTACGTGTAATTTGTTATCAATCATCTATAATATTTTAATTGATAAAAACTACAAAATAAAAATCTAACTATCAAAGTAGAATTTAATCCAGTCAATATAATCAGTTATTTTTCAAAAACTTTAACACATAGTTATTATGATAACCTAATAAATATAAGGATAAAATATTCGAAACAGATTAAAATTTCTTCTTATTTATTTGATTTATTTTAGAATATTATCGTTTTCTTGTAATATGAACATCTACACCCTATTACTCATCTTCAAAAATAAAACTAATGCGTAAAATCAAACAAAAATAATACTATTTTATTTGCTCCTTATTTACGTTAACGTACGCAACACATCGTTTTTATTCTTTCAATCTTCTTCACAACATAAAAAAAATTAATATATTTGATATTTATTTTCATCAAATGGTTTTAAAGGCTATCGTATAGAAAAAAAATGGAGTGAATACAATTGTCAAGATATATTACGATGATGAATGTTATGAATACTGTCTTATTCGATTTACTCTCAATGATTTATGTGTTTATGTAGTATTTTCATACGAAACAAATGAAAAATGTGTCATACCTGACCAGTTTAAATCATTTCAATATGTTTATATATTATATTGAAAAATTGAATATTGATTCAAGCATTTCGATCTTACTTAATCATAATGCTTTACATTAATTCAAATAAAAAAAAATATTATCATTTATAACGTATTCAAAAATAAAAGCACCACGTTGTCTCAACAGTATATACTGCAAACTCATGTAGCTACATTAAACATAATTGAATGTCTGACTTCTTTTATAACAAAATTACGATATAATAAATCTATGTAAGCATTCTGTGAAATTAAGAAATGAGAGACTGTCGTAATAAATTCTTTCTTGTCTTTGTCATAGCACTTCTATATTTGTAATATGATAATGATTAACTTACGTAACACGTGCAAAAGACTTGATTACTTATTAACAACTTCCTTAGTTGATTTCTATACATCATTAGCTTTAATTTTTTAAAATATGAATTTTTTATTAATCAACGTTCTACGTAAAAAATATATTGATACCTATCCTACATTGACTTGTTATCTTTTTGATTAACTATGATATTCGAAAGTTTGTATGTTTTTGCTATAAAAGATAATATTGAAAATACACACCGTTGTTTATTTTTAAAGCTAAGTCATATTGAATCAAAACAAAACAAAACAAAAAATGGATGACTTTTGGGAGAAAGGATCATTCATAGGACTTTCCGGAAAACCTACTTCTGTAAACATCCTAGAATTTGCAATATAAATCAAGAAAATGAAAAATTATTTATTTTTTTCCACGATCAGGATTATGAGTATCTATTGAGCCACCTGCTTTTCCATAAGGTGGATCATTAGAAATTACTTGATTTGGTTTATTCCAATCTTTTCGTGTTGTACCTAATATATAAGCAAAACAATAAAATTATAATTGTCTATTATGATTTCTTTACCAGGTTGTTTGGTATCATCAGTGGTATTGACTTTTTGTTTCTTATCACTAGTTTTCGTTTTATTTAAATTACTACCTTTGCCTGGATCAGATTGTTTTTCACCTAGAATAAATACATAGTTTAAGTGATTTACATGAAATATTTTTTATATTAATTCTAATTCCTCTAAAGGCTCTATTCAATGTATTTAAACTGATAATAATTAAGCAAAAAAATATATAAAAAAATGAATTAAATTTCAATTATATTCAAATAAAGATAATAACTTATAAGATACATGTGATGAAAAGCTCACGTAGTGATGCTTTGTAAAACTTGTATCGTTATAGATAGACCATATACCTTAAAGGTATGTTTCTGTATCTGACATAATCGAAAATTACGAACGGTGTACATCTTTAGATATACTTGATCTTACTCTTTTATATGAAATTTTTTCTGCTGTTTAATAGAATTTCTGATACGATAGTTTTTGTACATTCTAATACAGTTATTTAATTTTCATCAAAGAGCAAAGATATTTTGGTTAAATTAGACACTATCGTCAAAACGAAAGAATTTCAAACAATCTCTATATTCGAGTAAAAAAACAGATCTAGTTTAACTAACTGTCTGTATTCTGGCGTAAATAAATAAATATATATAATGCACCTTCAAATGATTGTTTATATATCAGTTTTGTGTTCGAAGATGAAATATACCCACTTAGTTCTATTTAATGTGCTCTGAACGAGACGCTAGCACACTCGATCTCTATTATGTGCATCTGAAGCATTAGGAAGTATAGAACTATTTCATTTTCTCCTTGATTGCATAGTCATTTTTTTTATATATAATTAGTGTTCACTCCGCTAATGCGATAGTTCGAATTGATTATTGAATATTTGTACTATGCTTTCTGCGAGATTAAAATTAGTATTCATTTCAAGATATTATGCATATAGAAGCTTAGCTATTAGAAATCTTTTTGTTAGAGCATTTTTAAATATAAATTATTTCTTCTTTATTCGAAATTTAAAAAAGGTTTTTTGAAAAATTCATCGACATACTTCAGTTCGTATCAAGCAATACATTGATTGATATCTCTGTTTATGTACATCAGTACTTAGAGATAGTTATCGTAATATTTTCCAATACAACTAAATTTTCTTGTCATATTTACGATCTTTGGTTTAATTTTTTTTAATGATGTTAGATAGAACCGTACGCAGAAAACTAGATGCTATTATCATTAAACATGAAAAACAACGATCTATGTACCAAAAAAGACATGAATAGATGAGAAGAAATCTTATTTCTAGTATTGAAAGAAAAAACATCAAATAGCAGGAGAATGAGAAAGAATAGATGCTTGTTAAAGAAATTGAGTTCGGTAATAGTAGAAGTAGATATTTAGCAATAAGAGTATTATATTCATTCTTCATCCTCATCTGCATTCTAATCTTCTGACTAGTTCTCTATATTACATATATCTTGTACATCTGTTACCTAACTCGATATAGCAAGTCTATTTACATTTAAACGATTTACACAATGAGAATATCTACAATAAGTAGTCAAATTTTATTGCTGCCGAGAAATTTTTAAGAGAATTAATTATTACTCATTGTAAATCAAGCATGTCGTTTGAGAGTTCTATTGAACTTAGTTGAAATCTTATCAATTTTCATATTAATTTACTTTTATTTTGATTTGCAGATGAGCGTGAATCACTACTATCATAACGAATATGTTGTATAATCAACGACGGACGTATAAGACTAATTCGTCGTTGCTAGAATATATACATATAAATTAATTATCTTGAGAATAATATTTTAACTTACAGTTGCAACTGTTAATGACTGTCGTATTGCTTGCATAATCTAAAATTTAATTTAAAATCACAAAGATGTTGAACAAAATACATGTGATTTGCACGTAAAAATATTTATATAATAGATATCAGATTAAAACCAATAATGATTATATGAATACATTTATATGAGAGAAGTCTTTTTTATTATAGAACACCGACGATCACAATTGTATTGTAGAAGTAGTTAATGTAGATGAAGAAGTTCTGTACAAAAAATAATATAGGTAGAATACAAATATTACTTTTTCAAATTGATGTAATTCATTCTCTAATCAATATCTCGACAATATAACATCCGTTTATTGATAATAACATTGAATCTGAAGAAGAAAAACTACCGATTTAGTATGAAAGAATCTTGAGATACTATTATTTTATGACTCATATAAATAAAGATCGTCATAAATGTGAAATCAATGAATACATAGTAAAGATAAAGATCTTACAAAGAAGGTAGACGAACTGTTTTCTTAACTTTGACTTCATGTTTTCTTGAGAAATATATCTTAATATCACTAGCTAAAGTAAAAAAGGATTCGTATTCATAAGCTGTCGAAGGTGACGTGTGATGGTTTCAATGAATTTTCCATTTTAAGATCAAAAAATTGCACGTTTTTTAATAGGTCTCATGGTTATTAGAATATGTTAAAAATTTTAGTCAAAACAAGTGCACTATCCTCCATATACTAAATTTTTATAACTACTCAATTTTTAGAGTTATTCGCTGCATGTGATCGATATTTTGGTAAGCGATATCTCGAAGATAAAATATTGATTCTGACTGAAATCCTTAGAACATTTCAATGATCATGACACTATGTTATTGACAAAATTTGAAATCGAAATACTGTATCTCTATCTATGACAAAGGAAACAACTATAAAATACGAACTATTTCGTTATTTATATATTCTTACGTGAAAAATTTAGCAAGAATATTTCTTATAGAAGGATTTACTGTATATTAATGGTTTAAGTTCCATGATTAATATTCATCAATATGAATAATATCTTTATATCAATATACATCCATTGTAAAATGAAATTTCTCATAAAACATATATTTATGGATCAAATAAATAATTTGAATGCATATTGGATGCATTACTCAACGTAATAACTTATCTTGACTAACGTATACATATATGTATTTGATGTTCGTCAATTAATCGATTTCGAGCGGTATAATTATCTAAAAAAAATTGAGATTTCATTTCAGAAATAGTAAAAAAAAAGTTTTTTCGTAAATATTTTTATTTTACATTATTTGATACAAACTATGATATACTGATGCAACACAATTAACATCAATCCATATATACAAAAATATATCACTTGGTAAACCTTTTTCAAAATAAAGATTGAGCCAAACTGATAAAACTATAGTACATAACTTAAATACAAAAAAAATTAAACGATAAGCAAGACCATGATGTGTTCCAATACCATGTATATATATTGAATAACTACCAAATAGAAGTATAGCCATATTACATATAAAATTAATATATTCAAGTATTTGACGTTGTTCATTATATGAAAAACATATTTTTCCTGAAATAGTTTTTTTTGATGATAAAATATTTTTTGGTGAATCAATTAGAAATGAACGATTAAACATAATAGTTTGATTTTTAATATCGTCTAATTCATATTTCATTTTCATCACTTCTTTATTTAAATGAACAACATCCGATAGAAAAAGTAAAAAGACAGTACTATAAAAACCAGCTACAATACCAAAGACAATCGATGCTATATTAGTTTCATTCATAGAAACAATAAAATATATTGTCTAAAAACAACACAAATTATACAAATTTATGAGAATTTTTAATATTTAAATTTAATGTTAATTCACGAACAAAAACAAAAATTTGTGAAGTAAAGTCATCACTACTTGTTTAAAGATGTTTTATTTCATTTTGTTTGTTCTTTTCTATCATATGAATGGCATATACATCGGACCAATGAGATTAGGAAATATTGTGTCAGTAGATATAAGTCATCATTCTATTATAAATGAATACAATGTGTTTTAGTCTATATTAACCAACGCAAATGTCATATATATTTAAAAAATCAAATGATTTTTGGCAAGTTTGAAGAACTAAGTCAAGTATTTCCAAACTGTCAGAAAAGAAATCAGTTTATTAATAGTACTCTAAGCTTATTTGCTAAAGAGTTTTCTGTTGTCTTTATCTCATAACAAAACCAATAATATTGATATAGTTATTCAATCGTTCACTTGTGTTTGTTGAATATCTTATAACGTAGTATACTATCTTTAAATTGTATTTCATGGCTTAAAAAAGAAATCAATAATTGATTGAATTTTAATTTTAAGTAAAATAAGATGTGTCATCCTAATAACAATGTGCTCAATATTAAATTTTACTTTTCATGAAGATATGATTATTATTAATGTATTTTACAATCTTATGCGTTATTTTAAAAAACATTTCGACAAAGATTAGCGATAGAATGTGGATGACTGAAGCTATAGACATAGTAGAAAATTGATTTTTGTTGAAAACTAACGGAAAATAAAGAATTTTCTGGATTGTGTGTAAATATTTGATGTCAAATAAAAATTCTTCACATACACAATCATCAATTCAATGACATTAGAATTTTTTTTCATAGTATTAAAGGATGATGGTAAAACATCAGCAATAATTATAATCTATTTCGTATGCTTATTTAGCGTATTAAATCTTAATTAAGTGTATAAAACTTTAGTAATAGATAATTTCTAGGTAAAATTAAGCACATCAAATTTTTTTTGTGAATTATTTTATAATAATCAATATTCAAAGTTTATTTTTATCTTTGTTTCACTCAAATTTCCTGAAAGAAATTTTCTGATTTTAATACTAAAAAATTAATGTAACTTTTATTATTCAATATTGATAACATCTACCATTAGTACATTAGAATATCATATAAAATTTATTATCGCGATGATTTAGAACAATAGTGTTACTCGTCTGAACAACATACATTGTTAATTAACTTAATTGTAGCGAATAAAATATTCTTTTGTCTCTTTTTTAAACAAAAAGAAAGTGTTGAAATCAAGTTGATCAACAGCGATCTTATATATATATTTGTAATATAATCATAAACTTTTGCAAGATTCTCTACAAAGAAATATGAAACTTTGTATTACTGAGGTAGTATGTTATGTGTGTATGTAAATATAATTAATACAACGTAAATTAATCAATGTTATGTTGATCTTAACCTATTTTCTTTCTTTACTTTAAAATAATCAACTATGTTTACAGAAATTATATTAACTTCGATCTTCGTCGATATGAAAATATATCCATTTATACAGTCCTTCAAGACTCCATGATTCTTTTATTTATTGAACATAGTAATCATCAAGGTCGAATAAAAAATAATTGTGTCATTGAATTTTTCTTTCACACTTAAACCCTTTTATTATAATATGAATTGATATATATAGTATATCAAATATTCCTTGGCAAGGACAAAATTAAAGATACATCTTGATTTTCTTTTCTTTTTCTTTTTATGATGAAAGTTGTGATGAATGAAGGAAAAAGATATATCACACATATGACATTTTCATTGAACAATTAGATAAGAATAGAAGAAATATTGTTCTCTTTATAGTTATAAAATACATAGATAGAAAAAAAAGAAGAAGACATGTTTGACGAGAGAAACACAATGTTAATCTGATGCTCAAAATAAATTGAACACAGAGGAAAAAGTGAATTATCGAAACTAAGGATACGGTTTTTTTTCTACACATATAACAAGCGTTTACAAGCTATACACACCAACAATAAATCACGATATACAAAAAGAAGAAGAAGAAGAAGAAGCATCTAAAGAAATAGAAAGATTATTAAATCAACACGAAAAATGTGTTATTTGTATTCTTATAATTGAAAAAGAAAACACACGAAACAATAAATAAGTTCGGAAATATTTTGTAAAATCAAAATATTTTATTTTTTTGTCGATTTCTTAGCTCGTCCACCAGTAGTACGTTTTCGTCCAGCTGTTTTCTTTGCAGTTCGTTTTACATATGCTTTACCTTCCTATAGAGAAAAAAGAACGAAAAATAAATCAATGTCACAAAAAAA